TGACAGTTGGTCTCAGAGACCATGTGGATTATCTCAGTGAAAGTCATGAGCTTCCTCATTCTGGAGAATGAAACAAGAAGTTGCTCTTTAACTGGGTGTCCTGAACCACAAATAGCAATGTTGCTATGAAGCTATTTAGGCACGTTGCGTGGCCTACTTCAGAATGTAGAGGATGTAGCAGATTTCTTCAAACTTCCCCCTGCCATCAAGGTCCATCATCCTGTAACTTAAGTCTTCCATTACTGTTACCCTGCTCTAATGTGCACAAATTAGAAAGCTTCTTGAGTAACAATTTTGTTAGCTTTAGCCAACAGATCTGCTATCAGATCACTTTTAGAGTCCATTGAACTAGTAGGGCTCCAGGTGGGTAAAAGGGCCTGCCTGTGAGGATACAACTGCAGGTTAGGTACAGTATTTAAATTATGCTCTTGATAACTCCAAATTAATGCCTCTTTAAGAAAAAGGCTTTTGTTGCTGACTTCCATAGTAACAAGACAACAAACTTCTGTGTCATCCAATTCACTTGTAATCATAGACGATTAGGGTTGGAAGAGACCTCAGGAGGTCAGTTAGTCCAACCCGCTGCTCAAAGCAGGACCAACCCCAACTGAATCAAACTTAAATTTAAAATAGTTAGTTGCAAAACATGCTGGGCAGCTGACTTCATCCAACTACTGTTTATTTAAAAGGAAGTTGTTTCTGTATTCTTGTGGTTTCTGTAGAAGTATGCTACCATAGATATTCACGTATTGACTCTGCATCCAGATAACTCATGGATACTTGGCCTCTTAGAGACTAGGCCATTTAAAAAAAATCAACTTTTAATCTGATTTGCTTTAATTTTATTGCAAGCCTTTCTAGTTGACATAGACCTCGGAGAGTGTGTCTACACAGCTTCTGGGAGCAAGTCTTGTAGCCTGCGTGGACAGACTTGTTTTAGTGGGGCTTCCACTAGCATGCTTACAAATAGCAGAGTGGATGTTCGGGTTTGGCCTGTGGAGCCTAGGGAGCCCAAATGTCAAAGCAGTGCCTACACAGCTATTTTTAGCACACTAGCCCAAGCCCTGCAAGTGGGAGTCTGTCGAGACTCGCTCCCGGCAGCTGTGTAGACATACCATAGAGTCTTTGGTAAAATGCGTTGCATTTAATTTCACTCGTATCCCCAGTCATTTCAGCAGTTGGGTCTAATCTAATTCCATAATAAAGAAGCAACAAACTAGACATTGTTAGTTGCCATAAAGATAATCCTAGCAGAGGCAGAAAAAGGTACTGCCAGCAGTTTAAAAACAGCAGTGGGGACCTTGACCAAATAAAAGCAGTTTCAGCTTTCCTGGGGTAGATTTGTACTGGCTTTGAGGAATCAGGTAGGGAATATATCTAAGCCCAGTTAAATTATTTAGATCTAACTGGATTTTTCTGTCATGGAAGGAAAGTATTTTGAAGGAAATATCCTCTCAGAATGTATACTCAATGAGGAGCATGTCAATTATTGTTCAATAGCCCTATTGATCATCAGCATGAATCTTTGAAATAATGGACCACTTGTTGGCAAGCATAATGATGAGTCAGTTCAGCCTCAATCAAATGGGATTTTTCCAAATAACATGTTGGACAATGGATTGGAGGCTTTTGACCATGAGAGAGAGTTTGACACTGTCTTCAGTTGTATGATGGTTACATACAAGGACCTCTGAGTCATTCTTCTGGTTAAGTGTCAGTGCCCATACTAGAAAGACAAGGTGCGAGAGGTAATTGGACCAACTTCTGTGAGAGAAGTTTCAAGCTTACACAGAGATCTCCCATCTTGTCAGTCTTACATTATAAATGGCAAATATTTGCATAGTCTCTAATTCTGACCTGGATTTTCTGACCTATTTAAAAATATTAAATTGTCTGGGTACTGTTTGTATCTATTATAGTTCACTTGGTACATGGCCAGTGAGGAATGCTAATCTTATTTATTTTTTTCAATCTCTGAATTAAAAAAAAGCCACAAAATATCTCAGCACAATGATTTGGAGCTATTAAATTATGCATATGGTTAGTCTGTGACCATATACCCTTATGATTATCTAGTTCATTCCTTTCTTTTATGCCCACTTGTTGCATCTTGTTTTAAGCTAGTTTGTAAGCTCCTCATTGCATGAACCACCTCTTCCTATATGTTCAGATAGCACCCTGATTCTTATTGGGGCCCCTGGATGCTACTATAATATAAATAATGGCTATGGGCCCAATTCTGCAAACACTTCAAGTCTGGTGGGACTACTCATTGGTAAAGTTAATCATGTGCATAAGTGTGTGGCTAGACTCTAAAGTTACATACTAGTTTCAATTGCATCTTTTTTTTTTTATATAGAATTTTCTAATTGTAGGCTTAAAGGGACATGATTTGAAAGATCATTTTCTGAATGTTGCACGTACTATAGTGACAGGTCACACCTAAAAGTACTGTAATTTAAAAGCTAGCAAAAAAATTCTCAATCTTTTTTATTTTGTGTCTAGTCAGTTTCATCGTTCCTCTGCAAAACTTCTCCCTTGCAGAAAAGATTTGCATAAATGTAAACAGGGGAGAAGAAATACGCTATAAAAGGAATTGGAGACAAAATCAGAGCATGTTGTTTAAGTCTATTTTAGAGAATTTAAATTGGCAGCATTCTTGTAAACTTCCCATACTAGTCTCTACCCAAAGTCAAATTGTATTTGACAGTCTGTTGGGTGAGAGTGAAGCATTCCTCCCCATTCCCCAGTTGTAAAAAGAAACCGCTGAGCTCTGAAGCGTAAAAGTTGATAAGGACTTTGTGCTTATTGAGGATGACTTCCATTGCTTAGGTTGAACAAAATCTGTTATGATTTAATCATTCAAAATTGAATGTTGGATATGTGCAGTAGAAAAATAAAGCTTACACACGCACACTTGAATATACTATGTATGCTAGTGCAATACAAATCTGGAAGTGCACACGAATTGGTTTGTGGAATTCAGCAGTAGAAAGCAGAACTTGTAAGGGTTGCATATGGAGTAGTGAGCCTGTAAGTTGGCGAAATGTCTTCTAAAACCAGCCTCCACACTTCCAGCTTCCCCCAGAAAACACTAGGAAAATCAATGCAGAAAACATGCTGAGGTTGCATAGTTAGAAATAAAAAGGGTCCAACTTCAATGTTAATCAGCTGTTGTGCAGCATAAGACATAAAAAGATGTGCCTTTTGTAATGAGCAGTAATACTTTACCCCAAAGAGGAATAGTAAATGGTTCATATGTACCATGTAGTGCAAATACAGTGTACACCAGAGGTTCTCAAACTGGGGGTCGGGACCCCTCGGGGTCGTGAGGTTATTACATGGGGGGTTGCGAGCTGTCAGCCTCCACCCCAAACCCTGCTTTGCCTCCAGCATTTATAATGGTGTTAAATATGTAAACAAATGTTTTTAATTTATAAGGGGGGGGGGTCACACTCAGAGGCTAGCTATGTGAATGGGGTCACCACTACAATAGTTTGAGAACCACACTCTCTTATTCTTCTGGATAAACCTCTAATTTATATAATTCAGCCTTGCTTCAAATCAAGCAATAAAAGTTGCTGTTGGAACTGCAGTTTCTGCTTTGCGTTGCCAGACTTTATAATGAACTGTGCAGTCTTCACATTGCATGAATGCTGGGTTTTATGTTTTAAAATATTTTTTACAATTCTGATTAAATTATTGGTACACCACAGTAGTAATTTTGTCACTACTTAGAGACACTGAAGCTGCTTGTGCATTCATATTTACATTCCCCTACATAAAAACAAATCTTGTCCTAACCTTTTTTTGACTACTGTGGGTACTCACAGGTCCAAACACATTTCTGAGGCTGAATGTAACTTGAATATCCCGCACATGTCCTGACTGTGACACCGACTCAATTGTTGCTTGACTCCTCTGCTTCTCTCTCACCAACAGAAGTTGGTCCAATAAACAATATCATTTCACCCACCTTGTCTCTCTAATATCCTGGGACCAACACAGCATATCCTCTGCTTGAGTAACTTAAAGCTAAACTGGACAAAGCACTAGGGAATGGTTCTGCATTAGCCGCTAGAAACAAATAAGATTACCTAATACTGTAGGGGGTAGTGTTTTGAAAGGCACCCTTGGAGCCCAACTCCCACTGACTAACGGTGCCTTTGAAAATTTACTCATAAGTCTTTTTTTAAATTCCCAATTCCTGGTGCAGCTGACAAGCAATTTTGTTGCAACTCTTTGAAATATAAACTACTCTAAGCTATCTGGTTCTGGGTCTTAACTTTGGAAAGGAACATCTTCTGGAGTACAGTTCACTTCCTTAATTATTAAGTCATGCATAATTAGACTTGGCAGAATTTGACTTTGTCAGTTTGATGGATAATATAAAAAATGTTTGTTTTTTAAGCATTTTTCTGACTTTTATCTATAACTTTTCACAGTTGCAGGAAATTATGGGGTATTTCAGACAATAGGAAGGTCAGCAAATAATTATTATTCACAGTAGATGTTGAGATTCAGAAAGTTAAAGCTTTGTAACCGCTAAAACACAACTAGTCAACATCACTTGTCAAAATATGCAAAGTAAATTTGAGTCTTGACTCAAATTCTAGCAAGTTCTCAAGCAGCATTTTTCTTTCTTTGCCTATATGTACATTTTGATTATTATAGATGGGAATATTTGTGTTGATTTGTGTGTATATGGTGAAATTGACATTTACCAATAAAAATCTACTACTTCCAAGCCTATGCATAATTAAATATGTTTGAATAGAGAACATGTTAGAAGTGACAAAGGTTAGAGCAAAGTGTGATCCTTTCTTACACCAACATAGAACTTGTATTCTAAAAGAGCTTGGGTTGTGGATACAGAGACCACTTCTTCCTATCCTGTGAATTAGTGAGAATTATTTTAACACAAACTGCACTGCAGCAGTAATTGTTCCATCAGATCCTCCTTGAGCAGTGGGAACAGAACCTTCGTTTTTCTTTTGCAGAACCCTAAAACAAAAGAGCAGATTGAAAACCTGGTACGGAATGGGATGAACAAGGAGCTGCGGGATCGCCTCTGTTGCAGGCTGACCTTTGGGACTGCTGGACTTCGTTCTGCCATGGGGGCAGGCTTTTGCTACATTAATGACCTTACAGTGATCCAGTCAACACAGGTAACTTGGGTAGCACTATACAGTCAGACTTTTTGTTTATACTTTCATAGTAATCATCTTGATCACTTCAAATTATGCCTTTCATCTTCAAAATTCACAATGCATTTAAACTTACTTGAAGCTATATATATGAATTGTGTCACCCATCACTGAAATCCAGCCTCATGGATGGAATGTGGCAACTGTTCAACAGTACGTAGCAACACCAAAAGGACAGGAAGTGTAAAAATACTCATCCAGCTAAACCTGCCCAAGGCATCTTAGGTAGGCCAGATGTAATTACCTAAAGTGAAGTTTTGCCAGTGAGCTAAAGCTTTTTGTGTTAACTTCAGGGGTCTCCTCTGACATTACATGAGCAACCAAAATGCTCTTGTTTGCAAGTCTTTGAAAGATATAAATAATGAGAAGGAATTTTCTATATTCTCTATTTTCAGGGTTTCTATACCCCTCCTCCGCCATCATGTGAGCCGTAATCTGGTGAGGGAGGGAGGGCGCTTGCCCTTTTGAGAGGGTCTGAGTGTGATGAAGTGGGAATGTTTCTTAATATTTTGTATGATTACTGTGCATACCTCAGTTTCCCCTATGTGCTGCATGTTGAACTAGGTGGTGGGAAGAGTTGTTTACTCTGGCAGAGTCTCAGCAGAATATGGCCACTCCGATGGCTGGACATGTGGTGCCTGGCAACTAATGACCCTGGACTGTCCCCAACCCCCGCAGGAAGCCAGCTGGTTTTGTCCAGGTGCGGGACAGAGAGCTAAGGTAGATAACCAGGTGACCTTGTTCAGACCAGGAAGAGGAACAAAGGATGGAGGAGAGATCCTTGGGGTTGTATAGTGTGGGCTGCTGGAAGCAGGAGACATGCTTCTGGACTGGGGACAAAGGAGGACGGGCAGGACTGACCCAGGTGGACTATGCTGTAACTTTTTCTATTCTCGATGCTAAGTAAGGACTTTCTATGCTGTGTTCCAGACATGTAATAAACCCTTCTATTTTTACAATGCTGTCTGAGTCACTGAGGTTGGGGGTGCATTGCTTCCTTTGGATGTGCAAGTCTCCCCCCAGGTGGCCAATTCGAGTGGACTCCCTGAGTGAAATGGGTGCTGAAGGCTCTGAAGTTCGGACCCAGGAGGCAGTGAAGCTAAGGGGTTAACACTCTAAAGGGCTTCTCCCAGGGACTGTTCCAGAGCTGTGCAAGAGCACCAGACCTGTGGAGCCTTAACATTGAGGTTCTCTCCCTGCCCCTCATTTGAGCCAGCATCTGGAAAAGTCCTGCCCCTTTGGATGGGGAGCTGAGAACATGCATACTTCATGCATATCACAAACTGTAAAGCAGGAGGTGGATGGGAACACACATTGAGATGCATGGAGCAGTTCACATGTCTCAGATCTATTGTTTTAGATTATATTCATCTCCGTGGGGTGTTTGCATGCTGAGAACATCACATTGAAATGAATGTGCCACTTCACACCTTTCAGACCCCTCCTATGCTGTAAGTGGATGTGTAAAGGAGCCCTTTCCATCCTCACTTCCTCTTTAAAGGACACTCTGACTGCTCTAAAATCTGCATGCTTGCATTGGGTTTCTTGAAATTACCTATGACTCGTGGGAGTGCAGAGTAGGGTTGGTGATTTGAACTAGGGTTTCCAGAGATATAACCTGGGAGGGGAAAATAGCCATTTTTCAAAAAATTGGTGTGTTTGGGTTTTTTTGTGTGTGCTGAGGTAGAGATCAAACTGTTGCTGTGATGCAGGTCAAAATGTTCTCAGTCAGTTTTGATCTCAGGTTTTGCATGGCACCTGCTAATTCTCTGGGGGACTCTGGAAAAATTGCTGCCCCAACAGACCCACTCCTTTGCTGTATTTGGCTCTGCATCAACTTCTGCCTTAATTTCCCCCACCTTCTTTTTGCCTCTTCTGTGTGTAGTAGTGTCTTGGCTACTTCCTGATCTCCGGACAGATGAATGTGGTGTTTCCAAAGACACACAGCATGGAAGTTGATCGCTGAGGGAAAAGAAGTATGTGTGCTGCCTGGGTTGGCAGCATGTGGATTCTTGGTGATTCCTGGATCATGAGGTTGTAGAAGTTTGCAGGAGAGCAAGAAGTACACCATGGCATGGGGATTGCTGGCTACAGGCTGATCTGGGTGAAGAGAGTTGGCTTGCATTAGCATCATGTTTTACCCACCCTGCAGCATCTAACTGGTGACTTAAGAGGTTGTGATCTATTGGACCTCATGGTGATTCACTCAGGTGGAAATAATCTGTTTTTTTTTTTTTTTTATATTCCTGGTATACACCTCAAACCATGTCTGATAGCAGATTTGGACGGCATCAGAAATGTGTGTCCAGGAGCTGTTTATAGTTTTCTCTGATTTGGCTGAACATTTGAATAATCAGTACAGTGACAATATGAAAGCTGTTAAGAGTCAAAACAATATTAATCAGGAAATGGGCAGGTGTGTGGCTACCCAGTAAATGTATATTGCAGGGGTCGGCAACCTTTCAGAAGTGGTGTGCCGAGTCTTCATTTATTCACTCTGATTTAAGGTTTTGCGTGCCAGTAATACACTTTAACGTTTTTAGAAGGTCTCTTTCTATACGTCTATAATATATAATTAAACTAATGTTGTATGTAAAGTAAATAAGGTTTTTAAAATGTTTAAGAAGCTTAATTTAAAATTAAATTAAAATGCAGAGCCCCCGGGACCGGTGGCCAGGACCCAGGCAGTGTGAGTGCCACTGAAAATCAGCTTGCGTGCTGCCTTTGGCACACGTGCCATAGGTTGTCTACCCCTGGTATATTGTATGACACAAAAACATTCTTCTTTGAGTGATTGCACATGTCCATTCCACTTTAGATCCGTGCATGCCTCGTGCATGGCTGTTGGAGAACTTTTCCCCTCCCTGGTACCGGTTGAAGCGGTTTGAGTGTTCTGTCGCTGCACGCCACTGCATGCTGGTTTAAGAGGGCAGAGCTGCCCCGACCCCTCCCAGTTTCTTCTTACCATCAGTGATGGTATTGCAAGTCTTGCTATTGTCAGTTTATTTCCCTCACTCTTTGCATAAAGTCTGTTTCTTGTTCAGTAGTTAGTTACAATGTATAGTTAATGATAGGTTTTAGTTTTTGGTCTCTTTTGGACCAAATTTGATTCTCTGGTTCGGAACTGGTAGAGAGAGTCATACCTCTCTCTCTCTGGGGTTTAAGTCATAAAAACATAAAAATGGCCATACTGGATCAGACCATAGGTCCATCTAACCCAGGTTCCTGTCTTCCCACAGTGGCCAATGCCAGGTGCTTCAGACGGAATGACAGAACAGGTAATCATCAAGTGATCCATCCCCTGTTGCCCATTCCCAGATTCTGGCAAACAGAGGCCAGTTACACCGTCCCTGCCCATCTTGGCTAATAGCTATTGATGGACCTAGCCTCCATGAATTCATCTAGTTCTTTTTTTGAACCCTGTTATAGTCTTGGCCTTCACAGCATCCTCTGGCAAAGAGTTTCACAGGTTGACTGTGTGTTGTGTGAAGAAATAGTTCCTTTTGTTTGTTTTTTAAACCTCCTGTTTTAAGTCTTGCTAGCCATGTGCCAGGCCAGTGCCGGTCAGTGACCCACACCCCAGCTTCCTAAAATGTTGGGAGTTTCACATCAGTGAGAAGTATCACCTTTATAGACTGTTTTAAACCTCACTCAAAAAAAATAGAGCTGTGAGACTTAAATATTTCCTTATGGAGGCAGCACTTGGCCCTCCATTGGCGCTGTTGGGTTCAGAGTGCACTCCAAGTGCGGCACCATCTGTACAGAGTGTACCTCCTGAGAGGCCTTGGCACTGTGTTCTGTATCTCTAGAACTGATGAAGAGACCCAGATCTGCCAAGGACCTGGTATGTTGTCCAGAAAGACCTTCGGTACCCAGGCCATCTAAAAGCAAGAACTCAGAGAGGGACTCTGAAGGGAAACATTCTCCAGCATGCTCATCTGCTGCAAAGGGGGGTTTGTCAAGCTCAGAACCTGTGCCAGATCTGTTGAGGCCGATTCCTGAAGTGTCTGTGTTGGACCCAAGATCCAATTTCGATATTGACTACACCAGAAGGGTACACCGCCACTAGAGAATTACTGAACCTCTTGGTACCAGTGTCCCTTGTGGTTCAGGAAGGGTTTCAGCCCTCACTGGAAACTGTGGCCCCTACACCACCTCTGCAAGAGCATACAGTACTGATGCCACTTCTGGTGCCTAGGAGGCCTGTACATTCTAGGGGCTTGCCACCGTTAATATCCCTGTTGCCAGCATTTCTGGGTTTGGCTTACTGGTCTCCTGTCCACAGGGTTCTGCTCCACCATTATCGCACGATTGAGTCATCTTTGTTGGATTTAGAAATGGGTTCTATTGTCCCCCGTACCAGGTGGGAAGCTTTCCCTGCATCAGAGCCGTTGGGTCTGTGGATGTCCCAGCAGTGGGCACATCTCAAGGGGCAGTGGCCTGTGTAACCATGGGGCTTTCCATCACCATGTCAGTGGCTGTTCTGGACATGGTGGGGTGTCTCTCCTGCTGCTAGGACTTCTCCTCACTTGTCTAAGCTGGCTTCATCAAAGATCATCTGCACTGCAGACAACATTCTCTGATCAGGCCCAGGACTGAGCAACTGGAAGATGTTCAGACAGCTCCTCCGCTACACGAGGCAGACTAGCCATTGCCTCAGTGTCCTGGTGTGTTTGTGTTCCTCATCACCAGACGAGGTGGTGAACTTTTCTTGACCACAAGAAGATTACAAGGCTCACTAAGAACTGCTTAAAAGGATGGCAGCAGTTTTACACATTCAAGGGAAGAGATCTGCAGACCCTCCACTTAACAGCGGAGATGCTTTGTGGCTAACACCAGTAGAAATGACTTGAAAGATATGAAGGAGGTGCTTCTGAACACCAGAAAGCTTCAATTAGGCATGCTTACCTGGCCAAATGGAAACGTTTCTCTATTTGATCTCAGCAGAGAAATGTGTCTCC